TGAAGGATGACATGATACGAGACTCTCACAGTTTTCCTCATTTTTTTCTCATTCTCTTTCGCTGATTATGAAAATTAGTGAATTTTGAGCAGCTGATATCAAAAGGGGCGAGTTGCCAGAAATAAATCCGCTAAAAATAGCTAACAAAAGCAGTGCGAAACGAAATTTCAAGCAACGACACATATACTTTTGAATAACGTGCAACTAAAGTTTGTTTACTATTCTTTGTTATAAATTCGAAATAGTTGCATTTTAAACGTTTATCATAAAATTGTGATATATTATTATGAGTTGTATTGTTTCTTTGATATAGTTTTTTTTATTTATGTCTTAGTTTATTATGTTATATGATTTTTAAAAGTTTTACAATATGTTTACGCGTATTTAGGGCTGTATATGCGTGATATAGGTCTACTCCTGAACCGAGTACCTTAAAATAATAATATCGAAATGCAAAATACCCAAAAGTTATTTTTAAAATACCCTAACCATTTTCTTTCGACAGTGGCATGATTGACAAATTTTATAAAAAATGTGGGTTTTGACAGCTCTCTCTCTCGCATCAAAGAGTTTCGTATCATGTCAGCTATGCCCATATGAAACAAAATTTGTCAACATTTATGCCTGTAGTGGCAACGTAGAAATCAGAAATTTTCTTTTGTTTTCATTTCACCAATGTTGCCATTGTTCTATTTGTATACACGATATGTCACACATTTAGTTTTTATATATTATAATTTTTAATAATGTAAAAGCTCAAAACTAAAATCCAGCTATTAAAAGTAGTCTACCTATTTATAAATAAATATTATATATTCGACTGTGATTTTGAGTTAGTTTAAGAATATTTCAAATATATTCAAGTTTAGTATTTAATTATTACAAAATATCGAAACTCTGGCAACCATGCGTTGCAAGACAGCAACCAGCTGACTCGTTTCTACGGAAAAAATTCAATTTTCGCGGTTATCCTACCGTACGGTAGGATGAAGCAGGCGGTAGAAGCGGTGGTGGCTGTTCATTTACATTGCGCTCTCATAAGATAGGTCGTATCAGTTGATTCGGTCTACGGTTTTGCGTCGGTGACTGTTTCCAGCATAAAGCAGCCTGCTGGAAACCGGAGGCAGCTGTGAACCACGCTGAGCGACAAACAAAATTTCATTTTGACATTACTGCAATAAGTGAGCATGTGGCGCAGAGCTGTATATGCATGTACATACGTATGTATGCATGTAAATTGACCTCTGTCGATCTACCCCATATACAACTAATCAATGAAGCGTCAAACCATCTCATATCGCAGCGCACTCTACAAGTCAAAAGTGTTCTTAGAAGCCACTCCGATTGCCAAACTACAATTAAACTGCACACATGTACATACATATGTATGTTTGTGTTGGTGACTTCGAATTGGTGCATTTACTCGCTTCATTGGCACCTCACCCAGTTAAGCTGCCACTTCGTTGCGGTAATTTACGGGAAACGCGCGCAAATGTGTGCATTAACATTTCGCTCGGTCGTCCGTCAACAATAAACAGCTGGCCTTACTTCGTTGCTCGACGGGAATTGTTTACGTCTGCTCACACCGCGCACCCATGCCCGCAAGTGTCGAGCGCACTCACATGCCGAAAGCGAAGCAAAAATTTATGGGTATGCATTCGCCAAAGCCAAATGCTTCATTGTAGAGGTTTGCCCTCTTGCATGGGCGGCTATAAATGGTCGCGAACGGAAAATGCGCTGATGGGGTGAAATGCAAGCGGTGAAATATGAAACACTCGCGTTTTTACGACGTCTTGTGCCACTGAACTTTGTGAATTGTGTTCGGCTACTGTTTTGTAGCTTCTTTGAAACATTTTAGAATTACGCTGAAAATGTTCTTTTTTAACACGCCTGCATTTGACCTCACCTTCTGTATTGTACAAGCACTTGCAGGCGTTTTTAAAATTGATAACCTTTAGTCCGATGATTTTAAGTGCTAGAAGATGAAACTAGTTCCCCAATTTAAGGGATATCAGGGTAATTGGGTTCAAAATAGCGACGGTTCGGCAACCGTCTACAGGAAGATAAAACAAGACGAAACATTAACTTCGATTGCACCAAAACTGTAATAACCCGCAAAAATTTTTTAAATTCTTGATTTTGATCGATTGACACAGTTTGTGTGACAGCTAGATGCTATAGTGGTCCGATCTAAACAATTTCTGCAGAGATTGTTGAGTAGCCATAGACAATAATCCATGCTAAATTTCGTAAATATATCTCGTCAAATGGAAAAGTTTTTTGTACAAGCGCTTGATTCCGATCGTTCATTTTGTATGACAGCTATATGCTATAGTGGTCCGATATCGGCGGTTTCAACTCCTGAGCAGCTTATTGGAGAGAAAAGCATGTGTACACAATTTCAAATAGATATCTCAAAAACTGAGGGACAAGTTTGCCTATATGCAGAGAGACGGACGGGCATAGCCAAATCGACGCAGCTCGTCATGCTGATCATTTCTATGAATATGTACAATTTATGGGGTCTTCAGCGTTTCCTTCTAGGTGCTACAAACTTCGTGGTAAACTTAATATACCCTGTTTAGCGTATAAAAAAGAAATGACAGGTCAGGAAGTGATGCAGTGCGTTTCCCCTGCTTAACATAGAACACAAGTAAACTATTCAATATAACTTCAATTACTACTTTATGTAGAACTATCGCGTTAAACCGCTTATAGAGTGCATTGCAGTACTGCCTAGCCGCTAATTGTACACTTCATTACAGCTTAATGAGCGAACGTGCTCTTTTCAAGAACATAACAAAGCGACGAAACGAATGCAAAACAAATCTACAAAGAAATGTTTTTATATTGAGAATGCAAAAAAATTTTCTGCAAATCGAGCATGAATTCCAGCTTGATTTCACTGGCGTTAGAAACTCCACTTGTAAGTTTACATGATGTTATTATTTTGACTCGTATTCGGAAATTTGCGAAGTAATTAAAAACTTTGAAAAATCTGATGGCGACTCTATAGGTAGTTAAGGGCGGAATAGCGCTTTTAAATTTTTTTCGAAGTTTTATTTTAAATTAATTTTTTTTTCGAATTAATTTGTTTTGTAATTAATTTTTTTTCGAATTAATATTTTTTTTCAAATTAATTTTTTTTTTCGAATAAATTTTTTGCGAAATAACGCTTTCATTTGATTCATTTATTAACACTTTTCAATTTACAGTAACAAATTAAAAGGTTTTTTTTGCAAAAAATTGCGTGTTTTCCTTCAAATGTAACAGAAAAATTTTAATTTCGAAAAAATTGCCCTAGCTTTAGCTGGGCAAACCGTTTATCTAACGTTATAATTTTAATTTTTTGATTTCAGATGTTCCAGCACCGTGTTACAAAGGGCATCGCAATTCCAATTTTTTCCGAGACGCTCCAGTATAATTGCTGCCATTGCCATATTTTTTAATATTTCTCTACGAAAATTTAACAGAACATTTTTCAATTGTCATACTATAATTTAACACTGGTTGCTAAAAATAGGTTTAACTGTCAAAACATCAAAAAAATTATAAAAATTGGCCTTGTTTGCATGAACTAAACCTAAACCTCCCTTAAGAATGATATAGATATGCATACATATGTACATACATATGCATGTACAAATGTACATATATGCTAACATAAAAGTTGTTCAGGTATTATTAAACATATGGTATATTCTAATAACGGAAAATGAAAAACTTCGTGAATTCACTGAATGCATGAAAGGTTTTCGAAAAATTCACTTAAATTTGCATAAAAGAAATTCTAAATAATTGTAAAATCAAATTATATACATATATACTTAAAATATAAGTACAAATATAAAAGCACAGGAGGCGTCAGCGTTGGCTATAAAGCGAAAAATAAAATGTATGTAAATTGAGTTTGTGACACAATGGCGATTGAAGTCTTTAGTTCGTTCGGCAAAGGGGTTGCATATATTATACATATATACATATATATATTTGTATGTATGTATTTATGCTTTCGAATTTTCGATTTTTATTACCCAAAATATATGCGCATATGTAAGTGAGTTTAAAAGAGAGGTTAAGTATGTTCAAAGGTAAATGCCAGAATTTACAAATCGAAATGAAACTGAGTTATAAATGTAAATACAAATATATTTGCGTATACATACTTATACATATGTATGACAATTGTTGCTTTTTATCATATACTGATTTATTTTACCTTAAGTTCTAAAGTTCTCTTTATCTTTGTATTTTATGCTTACGCCTTCCCCCATATTCGCATGAAGCTTTCGTTCGTAAATACGCGGTTGAACTTATTTTTGCTGATAAGAAGCACAATTATTACAATAGCGAAAAAGTGTGTATTTTCGTCGGCTATATACAATATTTTAACACTGAGACAGACACTTTGTGTTGTGGTGTTTATATATTCGCTTTAGCGTATGATAATTCAGCTAATGCCTACCGTTTGTGTATCTGTGTAATATGATCTGAACGCACCCTTATTTGAGGGTTGGTTCGGTGTTGTCTGAAGCAAGGATCAAGGGCAGAGTTTGTTACACCGTTGAAGTCTTTCGATTGCTATTAGTATAAAAGAAAATTTAAGAAAATTTAAGGAAAGATATTTGTACTGAAATTGGAACTGCACTCATACTAAAAATTGATTTTACAAATATCTACATATGTACAGGGATGTAAAATACCGAATTTTGCTGCATTTTTCAAAATTTGTTCGCCGCACACTTCCTCTCGTACTATAAGCAATAGATGTCGTTATCGGAACAAATTTGTAGCAAATAACTTTATGAAATTAGTATATGTATACTTAAGAATGAACCAACACCTTTGCAAAGTTTACCCCAGCACCACATAAGTTTACACATGTACACAAATGTACATATATACCTAATATCAATTCATATTAGACATATACGTATGTTGCCATCTACGATAAAACCAATTCCCACAAGCGCAATGGTTATATATCAGAAGTAACTTACCAATGGGCACATACAAATTAGCAACTTATGAGACAGCCAAAATATTGGCGCTTCACCGCGACACACAGAACAATTACATAGAATTTACCGACTCAAGTTATTTTGAGAATCTTTTTTTTATAAAAAAAAACAATATGCCTTGTGCTCCATATTCAGTGAGAATACACAAAGTCGATTTTGCAAGAAAGTAATCCAATTTGTATTTGCTATTTACCATTTGGGCGACAATGCAAAACCCCACTTTGACGTGTGAATTTTTCTCGCTACCAACCGATTTCTAATAATGCTAGACCGTCACATCATCCTTATATACCATAGATCCTTCACCTTATACCACAGGTTTTCGTAATACGTTTGATATTTGCATTTAATTTTAATTTTCACGAACGATTCTTTTCACATTTTATTTCAATTAGAACTAATTAAAAGAACTTCTAGCTGCCGGCGCTCCCGCATTTGACGTCGCCTGCTTTATTTGACAGCTCTTGTTATTTGTAAATGAGGATGTGTGTGCTTTCTTCTCTTACTGCAATTTTTTGTTGTTTTGCTCGCCATTTATTCCCATTGCATTGTTGCTGTATTGTGGTTTATGAGAAATTAAAAATGAAGTATGCTCTCTCTCAGAATTGTTGAAAAACACAAAGAGCACAGTCAAATGTCAAATAGCGAAAGGTAGTGATGCCAGAGGGTGAAATAAACAAAAGATTTCGATGCAGTAACAAACTTCAATGCTTAAGCAGAAATTAAGCGAGATTTCACTTTCCTTTAAAGAAAATATTTAATTTATTGTTTTATAAAAAATCAATTGTTTTCTGAAAAGTTTTTTTTAAGTATATTTTAATATATATATTGGCGGTATAAACATTATCTATGCTAAATGAACGCATACTAACAATAGAGTAAATCATACTGCGTATATATTTAATTGCATAATAAAGCTACGAAACCAATTAATTATTTTAAATTTGTAAATAATTCGATAACGAAGAACGCAGTTTTTTGGTTTTTTTTATTTATATTATATGTTCTTATATACAAAATAACTGTTTATTTAATTTTTTGGTGATTCAATTTAGCCATGTGGGTCAAAAGGCGCGCACTTGAATTAAACTTTTTGTCACATATCTCACAAGTTAATTTTTCAATTGTATGCATCTCGTTCATATGGATATTCCTACGTGGATTAGTTGTGAATACCTTATCACAATAATTACAACGGAATTCCCTTAAGCATTTCTCTTTAAAGTGCTCCACACGTATGTGTTTAACGATTGTATGCATATTGTATGCCTTAATTTTTTTGCACAATTTGCAGTGAAAAGGATTGTGCTCCTCGTGACGCACTAAATGCCAAAGCCTTTGTTTTGCACGAAATGTGGCGAGACATATTTTACATTCAACTAAATTGTCTCTTATCGCGTTTACCTTTTCATCCAATTTATTACACCAATCGTGTTCTATTTCCAAGTGGCTCTTCCATTCTTTTAAGTTTGCAGCCTTTTTCTTACAAATCGGACACAGGAATCGTATGTGACATCTTAATGACTCTGCGCGGCGTAACTTATGTAAAGCAATCTTTTTATGCTTTTTCCTAAAGTGAAATAAAAACATGCGACGTGAGGAAAATCTTTCCTCACACAGACGACAACGCAAAAAATATGGAATCGCCATGTGTTGTATACGATGATTTAACAACTTTCCATATGGAGCATCGGAAATAAATTTTTTTTCACACGAGTTACACTGATAAGATAATTGACCTTGTCGACTTATTACCGTTTTTAAATTGAGTATTGAAATGGAACGAAAATTGTGAACGATATCCGTGTGGGCATTCCATTTCTTTATATTGCCACAGGAAACACCACATTGTGGGCATATATAATTTAAAAAAGCTTCTAAATTATGTGCGTTTAAATTAGTTTGTTGAGCTGCATCCGTTGATGTCGTAGGTTGATTAGAATCATTTGAACTGTCATCTAAGAGTACGATACACTTTTTTTCCTTTACATCTTCCTCTGAATTATCATTACAAACTGAATCATTATCACTATCATCTAATTCGATGATTTCATTGAATGAATCTTGACGCGGTGCAATTTGTTCCTCGGCTTGTTCAAGACTTACGTTATTTAACAGAACATCATCGTTGTGTAAAACAGCTTGATTAGTTAATTCTTCAACTACTCCATTCGTCGATTGCATGTCATCAATTTTAATCTCAAATGGTACAACAAAATCGGTTTGAGTGTTTTCCGATAAATTTTCTGTATTAGTACACATCTTTCCAAATATTTCGCAATCTGATCCATCGTCTTCATCATCTGCATTTTCTGATTCACTTAGAAGTTCGACTACTTCCTCCGGCTCATATGATACAAGTTCCAATTTGGATTCTTCGTAAACTTGGTCTGCTACAGCTCTAAGAGCTCTTCCAACAGCAACTATTTGTTCGTCGTCAAATGAAACCACTTTCAAATTGGTAGTATCCATTTCAGCAAGACATGTGTTCTCAAATTTTAGAAACGCACTGATGACTTCTGTCAACTCTTAGCTCCCTACCAGCAAAAGTACTTTAATGCAGATTTATTTTCGGATTGTTTAATTATTTACCTTAACTCCTTATTCTTCAAGGCGCTGCTTCTTTATCTAGATTTTGGAAGCCAAAAAACTAAATGCTTTGCAATCGTTTATTTCAAGTGCCTGCTGTCAAATAATTAATTTGACAAGTAGAATGTAAATACCATTCACAATAGACAAACTTGTTGATAACAAAATGTTTACTATTTTTTAATATTATCCTACTTTTAAATTACATCAACAAATTTTATTTCCTTTGTACAGTACTACGATTTATTATTTAAAACTACACACAAGTATAAAATTTCGTCCAAACCACACTAGCAGCTAGAAATCAGAATGCCAACTTTTTCATCAGCAAGTACATCTGTTGGTCAACTTCAAAGCCGTGCAAATTGTTGGCATCCCCTTGTAAACGCATTAGCAGTCCACCGAAGGATACGTACGCTGATAGGCGAGACGATGCTTCATTATGTGCCTCATCACCTTCAATACGATATACCTTCCCGAACATAACATACTCGAAACTATCGGCACGTGTACCTTCTTGCTCCAACGGGTTGAATTCACCACTGTCAGGGCAGCCGTCCTCGCGCAGTGTTGTAGCCAGCACCAAGCGGAACTTGTCTCCCAATTCCATAGGATACAACCATGAGTTAATATCTAGTATCAAATCCATTTTGAAGGATTCAGATTCACAATGCAGTCGCGATACACGATCGAATTTCTTGCCCTCTGGATCCATGTCTTTCACATTGAAAATATCCTCAAATAAAACGCCAGCCATACTTGCTTCTGGTTTGAGTTAATTAAACTTTTGATTAAAAGTTATACCAGGCCAATTTATATTTATTCGCGAATTATCTTATATATAATATTAATTATTTTATGAAATCTTATTTGTTTTCATAAAGCACGCTTTTGAAAGTTGTAAAGTATTGTTGTTGTTTTGCCTTCTCCCGGCGCACTGTCAAAATTGACACAAGCTATAAACATTTGTTCCTTGCCAGATGCATCGAAAATATATAGTAATGGAGGAATTTTTGAGTTGGCAGGGTTTTCAACAATTTTTGGTGATATGTGATGGCTTAAGTTAATATGAATATATAGCTGTTTACGATTGGTCATTTATCTGTTTTACTATCAAAAAATTTACATGGGAAAGCGGGAACAAAGTTATCGAGTTGAATTAAAGCAGGAAAGTATACGGATACATCATTAAACAAGAATAATAGAATACAAGATTACGACAAAGATTTACGGTAATTTTTTTTGGTCTAGGCTGTAACAATTAAACAAAAACAGGTTGCAAAATGCCGTCTTGTTGTGACGAAACTCTTTTGAGTTGAGAAGAAGAAGCATAGAACAGCATGTAAATTGCAAACAAAAACGTAAGTACTTTTGTAAATTCCGGAAATAGACCAAATTTATTTGTTAATAGTGAAACACACAAGAACTACGTCCCAACGTGGCGGCTGGCGTAATCTTGTATTCTATCATTCTTGCTCATTAAAGTGGTATAACTTCTATCTTCAATGCTGCTAAGTTTTGGTTGCCTATATAAGCTCACTTTTACTATTGTGAATGGTTCAAATGTCAAATGAAATTTCAACTTCTTTTTCTTGTAGTTTTAAAACATAAGGCTTAAACTCCGTTTTAATAATATATATAGAAAACCTAAATAAATGGTTACATTAACGTTTTTTAACACAAAAAAATAATTTTTCACTAAGATATAATCATAACACTATTGCACATGCGTCAGAACACATGTTAGTTGCCCGTTCGGTTGAGCATCTGGTATAGTTTATGGATAATCTATGCGTTTAACATAACAATGTAATGTTTTGTGCTCAACGAGCAATTTAATTCATGACAGCAAATGCAAAAACAGATATTTTTCCTTCCAAACATTGTTGTTTCAGAGAGAATACAGTGAGTGCAATAAAACATTTTCATATTCCTATAATATATATTTATGTATATTTGTGTGTACTGCTTTACAGCTAAGCAATAAAAATAATGTTTTACATTGCATTGCTTTTCAAGCATCCAAAGAGCGTATGTGCTGCTTGCATAGTTGAGAGAAGCAAGCAAGAAATGTTTGTTTGCGTTTTTTGTCTTCGTTGCTATTCAAGTTAACCACTTACATTGCTGTAAATCAAGAATGTTAAAAATCAAACATATGTTAATACAGGTTGCAATTGCTTCGGCAATATCAGGTGCTTTTGTGCGGCAGTTTAATATACATACCTTCATATATGTACATATAAATGTAACGTTCGTCGAAATACATACATATATACTTTTGGAAAATATTATATAACATATCAAATGTAATGAGTATTACTACGTGTTTAAGTCTTTAGTTTGAGACAAATTCGCCCGCTGACTTGCGGTTGATACATACATACATACATAAACATATATATTTGTTTGAAAAAATTATATAGCAACAAATAAAACATAGTTTCAAAATAGTTTCGTTAAAATTTTTTTTGCGTACTTGTTTCTACATATGACCAGCATCGAGTTGAAATGGGTTTTTTGCAAAAAAAAAACCAAAAAGAAAAAATAATTAAAACAAACCTTTGTTATAAAAATTATATGCAGTTTCTTATGATAAGTATAAATGTTGTTGTAGCGGCAGAAAACATCACTGAAATAGTTTTGAAGAATGATGCCGTCTTGATATTCCTTAAACGTATAAAAATCCGTGTTACATAGAACCGACGGACGTGAGAACATACTATTATATTTATTGCCATAAACATTTAAATTTAAAAAACTAAAGTTAATTGAAAGGAATAAATTAAATGTGCTCATGCGATGCCTTGAACTGTGGTGTTGAATATTTCCATGCTAGCACCGCCACTTCACCTACGCTGGGCACACAAACTCATGAACTAAGCAATCTAGTCACTTTTGTCTTCTTTGATCTACGATTTATGAGTTTTACGAGATTGATTATTGTATATCATTTTAACATCTATTGCATACTTAAAATGCAAACACACAGCCACGCACACATGCAAAGTGGCAAAGTGCTGTGATTCGATAAAATTGTGTTTTCATGCAAACAATTAAATTCTTGGAAGAAAATATTATATTTCTGCGATTTAGTTATTGCTTGCTTTTTAGTTTTTGTTTGTGTAATTATCTAACTGAATATTTGTATACATTGCGCTATTTTAATGTTTGTGCATGAATTTTCTCACCTTGTAAATTTTTCATGCTACGCCAATCCAAAATCCAATAGAAAACTATGAAAAAAATAACAAAGCGCTGCTGTCTCCTGGTCGGAAGGCAGGAAAACCAAATGATTGTTTACACAAACCGAATGATACAAAAAGAAGCCAACATTTAGCCATAACTAACAAGAAGCAGCTAGAGATGCGCATATATGTATGTATGTAAATATGTATGTATGTATTTTTTTTTTTATGGATACGCCAAAGGTGGGTGTAAATCTTCGAAAGATATTGATGGACCGTACCATCAATTATGCCCGATTCACCGTACAATATAAAGTGTACAGCGCATACGTGCTAAATCACCCCCTTGCTCTCAGACCTGTGTTTCCCTGCGGAACTACCGTTAGGCTTTCCTTCGCAGGGCAGGTATTATACACAATAATGCTTCTTTATTTCTATTCCCTTATGGGGTCGTCTTAGTTTTGTAATGCAGTATCTCGGGACTGCGCTCTCGGTCTTTTAGCTACTTCATCTTCGCGGCCCGTTTGCATAATATACGATATTATGCCGCATACTGTATCCCAATCATTTTGGGAGGATAGCATATGACGCAAAACATCAGTGGAACGTATTGGTTGAGGTTTCCCTAGTTTCTCAGATAGTATTCGTCTTTCATTTCGGAAACGGACACATTTTACCACGAGGTGATCTGCCGTTTCAATGTAATTTTCGCAGTATATGCAGTAAGGTGTTTCAACGTGCTTGTATTTATATATAGATGCTCTGAAGCAGCCGTGGCCAGATAAAAACTGTGTAAGGTAATAATTCAGCTCGCCCTGTTCGCGCATAATCCACTCTTGGATATTGGGTTACTGACACATGTCAGTAGCTTTCTCACTTGCTGTCTGGGGCCCCGCGTATTGGGCATTATCCTAGCGATTGCCGACACAGACCGCGCCGCTTTTTTATGGGTGGCGATTAGGTGCTGTTTGAATGAGAGCCTGTGGTTCAGGATCACTCCCAAATATTTGAGGTGAGGGCTCGATTTTATGGTGTGCCCATCAATGCTGATCTCAATGGTTTCAACTTTCTTTCGACTAATCTTTAGCACCACCTCAGTCTTGTGTGTTGCTAGTGCTAAACCGGCGTTCTCTAGCCAGTTTTTAACATGGCTTATGGCTTCACTGCAATTGTTCTTGGCTTCACTTAGAGTTTTCGCTATGACTACGACCGAAATATCGTCCGCTTATCCTACTATTTTTACTGTGTCAGGCACCGCTACTCTTAGAACTCCGTCATACATTATGTTCCACAAGACAGGATCAAGAACTGACCCCTGTGGGACACCGCCAGTAACTTTGTATGTTTCGGGACCGTGTTCGGTATCGTAAACCAGAACTCTGTTTTCGAAATAGCTCGTAACAATTCGACAAAGGTAATCCGGGACCTTTAGCTCTTTCAGGGCCCTTATAATTAGCGTCCATCCTGAGTTGAAGGCGTTCTTGATGTCGAGGGTAATGACAACGCAGTATTGCTTACTACCTCATCGCCATCTACTCCCTTCCAGTGCTTTTTTTGTTAGTTTTGTGACAGTGTCTAAGGCATCCATGGTGCTTCGTCCTTTCCGGAAACCAAACTGCATTGGGTTCAATCCACAGTCTCCTTCGGTGCATTTCTTAAGCCGTTTACATATTATGGCTTCCAGGACCTTTCCTGCCGTATTGAGCATGCAGAGAGGGCGATATGATGAGGGTTCTTCCGGAGGTTTGTCACCCTTTGGGAGAAGAATTAACCGTTGCCGCTTCCAGTCTTGGGGAAAAATCTCTTCCCTCAAACAACTTGTATACGCTTGACAGTTCCGGTTTTCTTTTTATGCCTTGCCTGATAACGAAATTGGGTATTCCGTTCAGGCCAGGTGCTTTTCCTACCTTTATTCTTGTCACAGCGTGTTTCAGTTCCTCATGGGACACCTCCGGGATTTCATCCATGTTTATACGAAAAAATGGCACTCGCATGGGTTCACATCTTGGAAACAGGGCACTAACTATCTCGCGCAGGATGATGGGAGATATGGATAGTCTTCTTGATCTTCCCAGTTTCCTCATCACTATCTGGTAAGCTTTTCCCCAAGGATCATTCTCTACTTGTGACAGGAGCAGGTTGAAAGCGTTTTTCTCACTCTTCATTATTGCTTTATGAAGTTCTTTCCGCTTTTTCCGGTAGTTGACAAGCAGTTCCTCAAAGTCATGTCTTCCTCTAGCCCGTTGTTGCCTACGTCGAAACCTAAAGCATTCAGTTCTCAGATGAGCGATTTCTTCGGACCACCAGTACGAGGGTGCTTTGTTTACCCTGATTTTCTTTCTTGGCATTGCGGCATTGCAGACCATTGTAAGGGATTTCGTTATGTTCTTCGTTTGGCTCTGTGCATCACCTCGTGTGTCTTCATTAATTTATCCAATGGCATATTCAAGCATTTCTAGATCGCAAGCTTTTATCTTCCAACGTTTGATCATATTTTTGGGCATCGTACTACTGGGACTTTGCCTTTGTCGCGGATTTATATCGAACGTTATGACTTGGTGGTCACTATGAGTATATATTTCGGAGACTTGCCATGATATCTGTGCAACTATGGATGAACTTACATGAGTGAGTTCAATATAAGACGACGCCCTGCTTTTAATAAAAGTTGGTTTGCGTCCGTTGTTAAGAAGTACTAGGTCGAGATTTGCGAATGATGATAGTAGAGCAGTACCCCTCGCATTTGTAACTGTACTTCCCCATTCGACCGCCCATGCATTAAAATCGCCGGCTGCCACTAGCGGTACCTTACCCCTTGCGTGCGTTGTGAGCTTGAAGAGCATGTCCTGAAATTGCGTAAGTGATCGGCTAT